CCGGAGTCTCGTTGCGCGCCCCGGATGCCAGGACTCTGCAAGCCGCGATTTTGCCAGATCCGGCTGGAGAGAAACGGACCAGGGCGAATACGTCTGACCCGCGGCTGCAGTTGGCTCGGTGGCGCCAGCGTCCAGGTTTATCAGGGTCATCGTGTACATGTGCGGCGTCTGCCGACGGGGCTGGCCGCGCCAGCACACTCAGGCGAGAATCCTTCCGCCTCTGAGTGGCCCCTTCTCCTCCTCCCCCCCCTCCTCGGCCGCCTGCTCTGCCCTCCTCTCCCGCTCTCTTGCACGCTGGCCACTTCGCTTCTCGGTGCCCCCGCCTAGCTCTGGCGCTCCCCCTCCTCCTCCTCCTCCACCTCCTCCGCCTCCTCCTCCTTCGCCTCCTCCCTTCTCTTCCTCCTCCTCCTCCTCCTCCTCCTCTTCCTCCTCCTCCTCCTCATCCTCCTCCTCCTCCTCCTCCTCCTCCTCATCGATCCTCCTCCTCCTCCTCCTCCTCCTCCTCCTAATCGATCCTCCTCCTCCTCCTCCTCCTCCTCCTCCTCCTCAATCCTGCAGACAGCGCTGCCCCACCGCCGACGGACAAGGTGGCACCTGTGGAGCGCGCACCCCCGCCCGGCACAGCCCGCCGCCTGGCCGAGCGCGCTGGCGACCGCCTTCGCTGTGCTCACGGAAAGGAAGCACGGGTGATGGGCCCGTTTTCCCACCACCACCACCACCACCAGAAGTTGGAGAGGGATGGGGTCCTCCACCTCCTCCTCCTCCTCCTCCTCTTCGTCGTCCTCCTCCTCCTCCTCCTCCTCCTCCTCCTCGTCCTCCTCCTCCTTCCCCCCTCTAGCTTATGGTGGTGGTGGTGGTGGAAAACAGGCCCATCAACGGGGCCCTAAGGTACCGTAAAGTGTCAGGTTTTGATGTATTGTTTTGCCGATCGGCGCGGGCCTTCGCCCCCCCCCCCCCCCCTCCCGCCCCCATGGAGTAGATCTTGGCCGTTGTTGGCGCCTTTCTCAAGCAGGTGGATTTTACTTTCTAAAGAAGAGATAGGTTCTACCACCCTCCCCCCCAGGCCTAAAGACCCCCCGGGAACCTATGCAAAACACATAGGATTCTGACCCAATGTCCATCCTACCTGTGAATTCATACTATCCCAGCCAGGCCGGTATCGACCCCCCCGTCATCCTTTGCAAAAAATACTATGCGCGCGCACTCGTTGATCACAAATCATATTTACCTAACAGCGAAGACTGATAGGTTTCTAATGGGCTAAAAAGAGAGCAGCAGATGACTCCACAGGGGGGTCTGGGCGGGTGCCGGACAGGGTGCCGCAGAAGTCGTTTTAAGCCAACAGTCACACACTTCGTGCTCTTCGACCTCCCAGAACTCCATTCCCGGGCCACATTCTGAATGCCCGGAGCCAACTGTAGGCCACTTCGTGCTCTTCGACTTCCCAGAACTCCATTCCCGGGCCACATTTTGAATGCCCGGAGCCAACTGTAGGCCACTTCGTGGTCTTCGAGTTCCCAGAACTCCATTCCCGGGCCACATTTTGAATGCCCGGAGCCAACTGTAGGCCACTTCGTGTTCTTCGAGTTCCCAGAACTCCATTCCCGGGCCACATTTTGAATGCCCGGAGCCAACTGTAGGCCACTTCGTGCTCTTCGAGTTCCCAGAACTCCATTCCCGGGCCACATTTTGAATGCCCGTAGCCAACTGAGGCTGAGGCAGGCTGCTGCTGAGGCAGGCTGAGGCTGAGGCTGAGGCAGGCTGAGGCTGAGGCAGGCTGAGGCTGAGGCTGAGGAGGCTGAGGCTGAGGCTGAGGCAGGCTGAGGCAGACGCTGAGGCAGGCTGATGCTGAGGCAGGCTGAGGCTGAGGCTGAGGCTGATGCAGGCTGAGGCTGAGGCTGAGGAAAAGGTTGAGGCTGAGGCTAAGGTTGAGGCTGAAGCTGAAGCAGGCTGAGGCTGAGGCTGAGGCAGGCTGAGGCTGAGGCTTAGGCAAGCTGATACTGAGGCAGACTGAGGCTGAGGCTGAGGCAGGCTGAGGCTGAGGCAGGCTGAGGCTGAGGCTGAAGGCTGAGGCAGGCTGAGGCTGAGGCTGAGGCTGAGGCTGAGGCTGAGGATGAGGCAGGCTGAGGCAGACGCTGAGGCAGGCTGAGGCTGAGGCTGAGGCAGGCTGTGGCTGAGGCTGAGGCTGAGGCAGGCTGAGGCTGAGGCTGATGCAGGCTGAGCTGAGGCAGGCTGAGGCTGAGGCTGAGGCTGAGGCTGAGGCTGTGGCTGTGGCTGAGGCTGAGGCTGAGGCAGGCTGAGGCAGACGCTGAGGCAGGCTGAGGCTGAGGCAGGCTGAGGCTGAGGCTGAGGCTGATGCAGGCTGAGGCTGAGGCTGGCTGAGGCTGAGGCCGAGGCTGAAGGCAGACTGAGGCTGAGGCTGAAGCAGGCTGAGGCTGAGGCCGAGGCAGGCTGATGCTGAGGCTGAGGCAGGCTGATGCTGAGGAAAAGGTTGAGGCTGAGGCTGAGGCAGGCTGAGGCTGAGGCTGAGGCAGGCTGAGGCTGAGGCTGAGGCAGGCTGATGCGGAGGCAGGCTGAGGCTGAGGCTGAGGCTGAGGCTGATGCAGGCTGAGGCTGAGGCAGGCTGAGGCTGAGGCCGAGGCTGAAGGCAGGCTGAGGCTGAGGCTGAAGCAGGCTGAGGCTGAGGCTGAGGCAGGCTGAGGCTGAGGCTGAGGCAGGCTGATACTGAGGCAGGCTGAGGCTGAGGCTGTGACTGTGACTGCCGTTGCCACTGCGACTGTCATCGCGAATGCGACTGCGACTGCGAGAACAGGAGAATTCTACAACTGGATTCTCATCTGGATCTTAAGGGGAATGTTTCCATATATGCTTCTACACATCGCTGTTAGGTTGCTTTGCCGGGATAATTTTTCAAGAGCCCCTTGCAAAAATAAGGCCGAAGTGCACACGCATGCGTTGTCGCGCGCGCATGCCGGAAATCCTTCAAACACCTTAGGTTTTGGTTTCAGAAGGTGTTCGAAATCTAGTGTCAAAAAACATATAAAAGCACAGGGCTTCGCAACACGGGTTTTCAAATAAAACACGCGCGCTCTTGCGACCTCGTAACAAAGAAATAGGTTTCTAAAGATTTTCAGAAAATGCTACCAAACGGGCTTCGCGCGCGCATGCCGAAATCGTTCTAACGCCCTTGCGCGCGTGCCGTCGCGAGAATCCTTTGCAACAAATGGGACGAAGTGCACGCGCGCGCGTCGTCGCGCGCGCATGCCGAAATCCTTCGAAAACTTTTGGGTTCGGAAGGATTTCAAAATCGACTGTTCAAAAAACATACAACAACACAAGGTTTCGCAACACGGAGTTTCAACAAAAGCGTGCGCGCGCTCTTGCGAATTCTTGAGAAAACCATGAGATTTCAACATGTTCAAAAAATGCTACCAAACGGGCTTCGCGCCCGCATGTCGAAATCGTTCGAACGCCTTTGCGCGCGAGCTGGGGTGGCACGGTCCATGTCAATTAGGCAGTGCGAGCCACTCTCGCGCGTCTGCCGCGCGCGCATTTCGAATTCCTTTCAAAACCTCCATCGCCGACGCGAAGACGCCGTCATCGTCGCCAGCGTGATCGGCATCAGCGCCATCACTGGCCGTGCCGTCGTCGCTGTCAGCATCGTCGCCAACATCGCTACTATCATCACCATCATCATCATCATCATCATCATCATCATCATCATCATCATCAGCATCATCACCATCATCATCATCATCATCATCATCATCATCATCACCATCATCATCATCATCATCATCATCATAATCATCATCATCATCATCATCATCATCATCATCATCATCATCATCTTGTCTACACTTGTCGACGTTGCCATGATACAGCTCCCGCCCAAGTCGCCGACTCGCACTCAAGTGCCCGCCTGGATGTGCCGAGCGGTCAGCACCACCGCCGCGGCCGCGTCGGTCGCGCCAAGCTACCTGGCCGCTGCGCGCGCGCACGCGCGGGCTGGCGCGGCCGCAGAGATGCACCAGCCAGTGCCAAGCTCTCATCGCAATCGCCGCCGCATGAGGTTTGCAAACCAAGTTGCGGGTGGGTGGGTGGGATGTTTGCGCGAGCAGTGGAGTGGACAACTCACTGTGAACAGAACTTAAGTTCCCCTCACAGGACGCACTGTTGCAAATAGGCGCATTAAGCAGAGGTCCGTCGCCAGACCCCCCCCCCCTCTCCCCCCCCCCCTTCCGCCCACTGTCGAAACGCCGGATGATAACATGTTCGCGAACTGGTGTGCTGCGGGAGGGGCGGAAGCTACAGAGACCTTGGAAGACAACCCAGGGTCTAGCACACACTCGCGCGTCGGGGGCCGCGGGCAGCTCTGGGGACCAGAGCGCGCCGACTCGCGCGCGGGAGACGTCCACGCAGCGCACGAGGGCAGTTGGAATCCACTGTTGTTCTGAGACAATTGTATAGGAGGGGGTACAGAGGACAGAGCGTTTACACAGCTTGGAGAAATTAGTGCGTCAGCTAACGCTCAACTGATCAGTGTTCTGCGTGTCCGTGTACCCCCCAGAACTCAGCGACCGGTTGCAGAACTTCGTGTTCTGGGTAGTCGTGCGCGGCGCGTTTCCAGGCCAGGGGCTCGAGTCCGCGACTCTCCTTGGCGTCGCGTTGGTGCGCCCCGCTTTGCAGGTGTACATGTCGGGCCTACCTCATCCAGGAGATCGCGTTAAGCAGATGCGGCGTACCAGAAAGAGACTCGCCTCTGGCGCGTCTCGCCTTCCGGCGGAAGGCGGCGGGAAGGCGGGCGGAAACAGAACGGCGGTGGCTCCGCTGGCGGAAGCTTGTGAAAGGCGGCGGAAATAAGAGTGATACGCCAACGTGTTTGAATTCAGGGGCTCTTGAGTCGACCATACGGGGCGCGTGCACGGGACAGAGTGTATGAATCGTTGGTTGTTCGCACTGTGCACGCGTCGCACACAGCACACATCTCTGACCACGACAGTTCGGCTCAGTTTCGGCGCCCTGCCGTGGCCAGTTTCGCCGCCGGAGGGGCCCCCCCCTCCGCGGGAGCCATGGCAGACCAGCTGAACACGCAGGCCTTCTGGAACGACTTCCTGCGGAGGCCCGATGCGAGGGCGGCCTACCAAGCGGACAGGAAACTGCAGATCAAGAAGTCGGAGTGGCTAAAGGAGAGGGACGAGTTGGAGGAGTTCGGCAACCGCCGGAAAGTTCTCGCAGACGAGCTAGAGGCCGCGCCTGCGGATCTAAAAAAGTTGATAGCACCCATGTTCCACATCAAGATGGTGCAGCAGTTCCTCTGGATGATTCAAGATGCTTGCGCCATTCCGCCGACCCCCAGGGAAACATGCGATTGATTCTGCGCTAAAGGACTGAGTTGGGCAAGCCTTCCGAGCACAAGCCCGTGACATGTGGCACTTCGCATCGCGAGCATCCTGAAGCCGGGTCTGTTGCAGACCTTCTTGGGGGGGGGTCCTTGGAGGCCTCGAGGGGGGTGGGGGGGGGGGGCGGTTCTTGAGAGCCTTGCTGGGGCTCCTGGGGACCTCTTGGGGACCTGTTGGGCCTTCTGTGGGCTTCTTGGGGGTCTGTTGAGGGCTTCTTGGGGGCATGTTGGAGGTCTTGGAGGACATTTTGTTGGGGAGGGCCCCTGGGTCCTCCTCGAGTTCCCCATCTTGGGCCCCCCTTGCGGCCCTCTTGGGGCCCTCTTGGGGCCTGCTTGGGCCACCTCGGGCGCCTCTTGGGCCGTCTTGGGCGCCTCTTGGGCCGACTTGAAGCCCTCTCGGGCCGGCTTGGGGCCTCTTGGAGCGATTTGGGGGGCCTCTGGGGTCGTCTTGGAAGCTGGTAAGGCCCCAAAAGGTGAAAGCCCTAAACACAGATTTGTTTCCCGAACGGGATTGGGACGATTTTTGTTTTTGAGGGCTCTCGTGGTGGTCCTCTCGGAGCCCTGGGGTGTCTCGAGGCCCTCACGGGCCGTCTTGAGGCCCTCGTGGGTGCTTTTTGGAGCCTTCTGGGCGCGTTGCCGCCCAATTTTGCATCGTGGGCACCCTGCAGGCGACGGGGGCTGGAGTTGCGGCTCCAGGGGCACCGGGGATGCGCTGGCGAGCTCGTCCCCACGGGGGGAGGGCCCCCGCCCCCTGCACTGGGCCTCCCAGGGAGGGGGGAAAGGGGGGAGGGGGCCTGCCAAATGTCCCACACGCCTTCGCACCCCCAGGAAGCGGGGGCCGGCGGATCTTCGACGAGTGCCAGAAGCACAAGAAGGAGAGCATCGGCGGGCTCGGAGGACCCGCGTTCCTCGAGAAGCTTCAAGACGAGGGGACTCAGGATCACCTCAGAAAGCTGAGGACGAACTTCCAAGAGGGTGGGGAAGAACGAATGCAGCAATTGCAAGACAACTGGTATGGGATCTGCAACGAAATCCACCAAGATAACCAAAAACAGGCGGACGACAAGCCAAGAGTCTGTTCCGACATCACCACCCTCAAACATATCCTGGAGTACGGCCAGGAGGCTAAACGCCTGGGCAACGAGAAATTCAAAGAGGGCCTGTACGATGATGCCCTCTTCATATACGGCCAGGGGGACGACATGATGAAGAAGTTCACGGTGGGGAAGCACCTCAAGAATGAGAGCAAGTGGTACAAGGAACACCACATCGCCTGCCTGAAAAACAAGGCCCAGGCCGCGCTGAAGTTGGAGAAGTGGCACACTGCACTGGAGGCGGCTGAGGCGGCTATCGACCTCGACCCGAACGACCACAAGGCCTGGTTCAGGAAAGTCCTGGCGCTGAAGGGCATCGGAAGATTCAAGGAAGCAGAGGAGGCCCTCCTGAAGGTCGAAGAGGCTGCCAACTGGAACTGCGACAGGGTGCAGATCCTGAAAGATTGCGAGGCTGAGCGCAAAAAGATCCACCTGGCTGCTGCGAAGCACAAGGTCTCAACGAAGGACATGCTCGGCAAGGCCTTCGAGGCGGGCATCTTTGGCGGGAAGCGCGAGAAGGAGCTGGAGGACGCCAACAGGATAGCGGCGAAGGTGCTCCCGCCCAACCTGAACTCCATGCTGGAGGTCGACAGGCCAGCAAAGTCCGGGGAGGCCGCGCGGCCCGTGGAGCGGAACGTCACGCTGACGGCCGAGCTCGCAGGGCACCTGGTGGACCAGCTGGCGGACGCCTACGGCGAGCCGTGGTTCCAGGAGCGCGTGCGGAAGTGCGCCCGAGACTCGCTCTACCAGCGCTCCGCCTTCGTGCCGCGCCTGGCCAGCATCGCCCTCGAGGTGCAGAGGCCCATCCTGGAGAGGTGGGGCTTCGAGGGCTCCCCGCACGGCGTCAAGGAGATGACCGTGGCCATCCGCGAGTGCGCCCACGACGGCTCCAGCGCCGGGCAGGCGATGCCGGAGTGGCTCAAGGCCAAGCAGGTCGGGCGGGTGGCAACGAGATGTGATGAGGGGTGGCCCCCAAGGGGGGGGGGAGAAGGAGAAGGCCCTCACGGGGCCCTGTAGGGCCCCTTTGGGAGCCCGTTGGTGCCCAAACTGGGCCCTAAGGGGCCCCTCCAGGGCCCTCTTCTTCACCACCCCATGTGGGTCACCCCTCATTACCACCCGCCCGAGCAGGACAGGTGTCTGGAGCTGCTCTACGGGGGCCGCGAGGAGGGGATGGCGGGCGTCATGATGGGCAGCTAGCCCTCCAACCGCGCGCCCTCGTTCTGGTGCCGTGCGTTCGCGGCACGGGCACCCGCTCCGGTTTGGAGTGCTCGGGGGCACGGCGTCCTGGTTTCACGCGCGCCAGCCTTCGGCAGGAGGGGGTCCAGCGGCGCCGCAGCGGGCAACACACGTTTGAAGCTGGCCTGGCAGCCGTCGAGATCTCCTCCTCCTCCTCCTCCTCTTCTTCTTCCTCCTCTTCTTCCTCCTCCTCCTCCTCCGAAAGGGTAAAACGCATAAAGCAGATTTCTTGGGTCGGCGCTTGGTCCCCCTGGCGCCGCCTCTGGCGCGCTCCGCGCGCCAGGGAGGGGTCCAGCGCCGACCCAAGAGATCCGCGCGGGCCTCCGAAACTTTGCGATCGTGCCGTGCTTCTTGCTCCGGGCTCGTCCCCTTGCCTCCGCACCCCCCCTTCGCCCTCCCTCGCCTTCCCTGGCCCCCCCCTCGCCCTCGCTCGCCCCCCTCCCCTCCCTCGCACCCCTCGCCCCCTCTCGCCCTCCCTCGCCCCTCCCTCGCCTCCCTCCTTCGCCCTCCCCGCCCTCCCCCCGCCGCCCCCCCCCCCCCCCCCCCTGCGCCCGTGCGCCCCGGCGAAGAGCGGCCGCGGCCCTGCACGGCGTGGGCTCTCGAGGGCGCCGCCGCAGACCGGGCCGCCAGGTGCTCGCGCGGACGCCAGCGGGGGAGGGGAGCAAAACGGATCCCGGCGAAGGGCCCAGGCATGCAGAAAGACAGCCACATCGAGCCGGAATCGAGGAAGAGAAGACGCCAAAAGTTTACGTTCCTAGTGTCTTGTCTGTGTCTATGGGAAGGAGGGGGCCGGGAGGCAGGATCGGATCCTCCGTGTGATCGCGTGGACGGGCAGAGTCGTGCCCTGCGTCCTCCCAGCACGACAGCTGTCTGTCTCGGCCGAGCGCAGGCCTGGGCATCGCAGGGCGGGGGGAGCAGCAGGCACCACCGAGGGCCGCGCGCAGGGGTGCGGGGCGGGCCAGGCGCGGCCCTGCGAGAGCCGAGGGGCGTGCAGAACTGCATTTCAATCGGGCGTGTCCCTCTACGGGAGGAATGTTCAAAGATAGGTTTGAAATTAGTCTGGAGACGATGTTCGGACTATTTTTGAGCATTTTTGGCATTCTGCCAAAAATTGTCAAGTTTAAATTTGCCAAGCAATCATTTTTTATGACAAGTTTGAGTGGTTCGCTCAGAATCCCCCTGTATGGGTCCCGACCTGAAAGTACATGGGCACGCGCTCTGGGAGGCCCGCGCGGGTGGCTCGGGTCGGCGCCGGGCCCCTCCCTTTGGCGGCGCCCTCGGCGCCGTCCCCTGGCTCGGAGGCGACGGCTGGGGGGCACTGCCCAGGGGAGGGGCAGCCACGCGCAGAGGGGAGGGGAGGCAGGGGGGGAGGGCTTCTTAGAAGCACCCCTGCTTCTTAGAAGGCGCGGGCCTTATCTATTGATTTAAGGCTGGCGCCTTCTAAGAAGCAGCCTCCTTCTAAAAAGCCATCCCCCCTCCCTCCACCCCTTTGTGCGCGCCGCGCCGCCAAGAGGGGCAACGCATGCATCCAGAGGCTTCCCAGCGAATGCGTGTAATGCTCGCCCCTGGGCGATCCGCCCCCCCCCACATCGTCGCCGCCGACAGGCGCGCTTCGCGCGCCAGGGGAGGGGGGTCCAACGCCGACCCAAGGGATCTGCCCGGACCTCCCACAAGGTTTGCGTGCTGCGCCGTGCGTCTGATCCTTCTAGAGGGCGGGCGGGGGGAGTAGGGGGTGGGAGGGGGCTCGTGGGAAGGGATAGCCGCCTTTTGAAGACCGTGTCGTCCCGCGCGACCTGGGAGGCGGGGGGGGGCCTCTGCTCGGAGGGCCGCCCTCCTCCTCCTCCTCCTCCTCCTCCTCCTCCTCCTCCTCCTCCTCCTCCTCCTCCTCCTCATCCTCATCCTCCTCCTCCTCCTCCTCCTCCTCCTCGTCCTCCTCTTCCTCCTCCTCGTGCTCCTCCGCCTCCTCCTCCTCCTCCTCCTTCTCCTCCTCCTCCTCCTGACCGTGCGGGCTTGCCGCGCACAAGCGCGCGCCCGCCATCGCACACTGCGCGGAAGACACTGGCGAAGGCCCTCTCTCCGTGCGTGAAGCGCGCAGCGCCTCGATCCGCACGTGCGCCGGGTGCGCGCGGGGCCTCGCGAGGGCGCGTCGAGTTGGAGAGCACCGGCGTAGTATCGGAGATTGATAGACCTCCTACCCTGACACGTCGAGTAGCGAATTGGCCGTTTTCGGTTCGCGAGAGGGCGTCGCGGCCGTCATTTTTGCGAGTCCGGGTCCGTCGGTTTCGGTCCTGGGCCGTTTTCACGAAAGGGTGGCTTACGAAAGGGAGGTTTGTCCACCGCCGAGTGTAGATGCAGCAGCAGATGCATGGGTTGAGTTCCGCATGGGTTGAGGCACGAGTGGGTTTCGCACGAGCTAAGGCAGATGAGACGCAGGCTGGTGACATTCTGGGTCACTGCCATCCGGAAGGCGGCATATCTCCGGCGTCATCCCAGCATAACGTAGACATGAGCCGTTTATGAAGTACACCAGTGGTCGGTATCTTGGGGACGTCATCGGACTTAGGATATCGTGCGTATGTATCAGTCTGACGTAGCTGAGAGGAGAGGCAGAGACAGACGGACAGACAAAAACACAAACGCAGACACATCTAGGCACATACGTGTATATCTGTATCATATATATATATATATATATTATCGCAGTGTCGCTTCAAAGTTGCTCCAACACCTTTGTCGTCTGCGCTGTAGATCAGCGCCCTCAGAGCTCAGAGCGTATTGGGAGAGCGGTCGGGCGTACGTGTATGTTCGTGTTTGTAGCACGCGCAACCCTCACCCCTGTTGTCTTTGTTTTCTTCTGGTTCGACGCATCTGGTATCTCCATGTGCGGCTGAGGCGCTGGAAAAGGCAAAGAAGATTGGTGCAGAGGCCGTTTGCGATCTGGGGTCGCTCCGCCTCGGTCAACGACGCCTGCCTCAGTCAATACCTGCACCCGCCTTGCCAGGCAATCTTGGGATTCGTTGGGCAAGCAGTTGCCAGCTGCTGGGGTCGCAAGAGGGGGTCAATTGGACGATCGAAAGCTTCCGTTCAGGAGGTCGAAACTCCAGGCTGGTACGACGGAGCTTCCAGAATGGAGGAAGAAGTCCTCCAGAACGGAGGCCAGAGGCCTCCACTCTGAAGGCTTGCGGCCCTCGCCGCGCAACCGGTCTTGTGCTGCCGCTGGTGGGCTCTGAGAGAGACGCAGGTGGACTCCAGGATCGGCGACACGGTCCCGCAACCCTCGTCAGAATTGACCTCAGAAGATGTCTTACGTGGCTGAATTGCTTGCGGGGAGATCCTGGACAGAGTGGCGCTGACTGCGAGGTACTTGTATGCGCCGCCCCTCCAATGTCGGTCATCATCGAACTTCCGAGTCGTTCCCGGTCAGACCACCTTTGCCCTGGCCCCGACATTAGAGGGGCGTCTATCGACATTAAAGGGCGCGCCGACATCGCAGGGGCGTGTTCGATTTTGATGAGGGTAGTAGGATCGAGGCCGGTTCGGGGAGGATGCCCTGGTGCCCAGACCTCCTCGCGTCGTGAAAAAAATCACGACGGGAGGTTCTTCGCTATCTTCGGCCTCTGGGGGCCCTTACCAGGCCCTGGGGGCGTCAAAAAACGACTCGGGATGCAACACTGGTCCCGGGGAAGGGGTCCAGCCCTGTGGGGGTCGACGTTGTGACCAAAATCACGACGTCGGGGGTCTGGGTGCCTAGTGCGCTTCGTGCTTGTTGGCTGTTCTTGTGCATCCTGGGGAGGTTATCCTTGGATGTTCTGTCTGCTCTGGCCGACGGAGGTCGAAGAAGAAAAAGACGGCGTAAACATAAACTTATGGCGCTCCGCGCGGATGTCTTGGATCTGCGCTGGGCCCCCCAATCGGCGGCGCCTCCGGCGCCGCCCCTGGCGCGCTCCGCGCGCCAGGGAGGGGGCCCAGCGCTGAGAAATCCGCGCGGAAAGCCAAAAGTTTGTTTATGGCGTTTTCCTTCTCTTCCAGGAGGGCCTCATGTTCTCGGAGGACGCTCTTCTGGCCTGGGTCCGACTGTAGGCTGGATAGGCGTCCTTCTCTCCGGGGGGGGGAGGGCGGCACGCCAGCCCCGCCCAAGTGGGGCCCGAGTAGACGGTGCCGGGGGATGGCGCGGCATCGCCGATATTCCGGCCCGCCACGCGGCGCGATCCGGGGCGCTCCAGAAAGGGCCCTCGGCTTGGAGCTTCGAGGGGTCGAGAGCTTGGCCTCTCTTCTTCGGCGGCGTGTCGGCGGAAGCTGGCGGAAGTAGAACGGCGGCGGGTCCGCTGGCGGAAGCTGGCGGAGGTAGAAGTTGCTCACCCAGTAGGCTGCAGCTGTTTTGGGCTGGTGATGTCTGGTACGAGCCAGCGTGGATCGGGGTGACCCAGAAGGGGATCCAGCCGAAAGGGGGTGGTGCAATAGATTTGGGGCAATCGTGGGGTACTGCGCCGGAGAATTGTGTTGAATTGCATTGCAAGTCATGTGTTGGACGCGAAAATGCAGCAATACATCTGCGCCCCGAAATGTGTTGCACGCCCCAAGTGTATGGCAACCCCACGAATCTACCGCACCAGATCTATTGCACCACCCCCGTGTCGCTGGACCCGCTTTTGGGTCAGCCCGAGATGGGGTGTAGCCAATGGCGTACGGTGGGGGGCGTTGGCTGAGGAATGTGCCCGGGAGGCCTCAGACCCTGGGGGGGTCCCTCATCTAGCAAGGGCGGCGGTGATGTCCACGGCCAGTCCACGATCGGAGTTCCGCGGGCTCCTAGACCCTGGGCTCCTTGTCCAGTGGTTCCTTACCTCGGGGGTGGTCAGAACCCCCACACAGACACGTCGATTGGTGAATTGTCCGTGTTCGGTTCTCGAGGGGGCGCCGCGGCCGTCGTTTTCCAGGCCTGCGCCCGCCAGGTTGGGGCCCGAGGCCATTTTCACTGAACCACGTTTTGCTAGAGGGGCTGCTGCCCATCCCCGAATCCGGTGCCCTCACCGTGTGGACACCTGCATACGCACAAGGTGTGGGAGCCCTGCGAGGATTAGTTTCTGAGGTCGGCGCTGGACGCCCCCTCTTGCGGCGCTTCTGGCGCCGCCCGTGGTGCACGCCGCGCGCCAGGGAGGGGGGCCCAGCGCCGATCCAAGAGATCCTCGTGGAGCGCCAAGAGTCTATGTCTGTGGCGTTTTTTCTTCTTCTGGGAGGGCCTCATGCTCTCGAAGGATGTTCTCGAAGGATGTTCTCCGAGAGTTCCGCTCGGATCTCCGACAGTTTGTGCCTTTTTGTTTTCTGGCATTCTCCTCTCAGGCGATCGCGAGCATGGACTAAAGGGGGCGTGGATCAGCGACGGGGCCCGCTTCCATGGGACATCGCGGACTTCCGCCGCCGCACGAGGCGGCACCGGTCGCATGTTGGGGAGGACACCTCCCCCGATCCATGGATTTGGCGACCGCGCGCCAGATCCATGGGATCGCCAATCCATGCCTGCGCGCCCCCGATTCTAGTTTTGGAGTCGGACCTTCCGCGTCCGGCTGTCATCGGTGCATCGGCGAGGCGGTGAGATCTCTGGACCCCACGCATCCGGGGCCCCCCGTGCGGGCGGACGGCACGAGAGCGCGGAAAGGAGCGCGCTTCGCGAGCATCGCGCTCGTGCTCGTGGGGGTTGGCGCACCCGCGCGTCTGCCTTCGCGGGGGTCAGCGCTTCGCGATGACAAGCGAACCTTGCGCTTCCGCGGCGCCGAGAGGCAAGGCGGCCCAGAGGTCTGCCAGTTGTGGGCACGCGGTCTCCCGCGAGATTTTCATGTGCTCTCTCTCTATATATATATATATATATATCGTTTTGTTTGATCCCTCTCTCTCTCTCTACCTCTCCCTCTGTGTAGGGAGTCCTCGAGCGAGAGTTGTTCGCCATGTTGTATTCAGCGGGCCAGGCCCTAGAGTCTCGCACGTGATTTTCTAGGCGCCATCTCATTTCATATCATCTCATCTTGTAGCATCTCGTCTCGTCTCGTCTCGTAGCATCTGATCTCATCTCATATCATATCGTCCCATCCCATCTCACCATGTTACTCCTCTCAGATCACCTCGTCTCTCTCTCTCTCTCATCTCTCATCTCTCTCCCTCTCATCTCTCCCTCCCCCCCTCGCTCCCTCCCTCTGCGCTGGACCGTGGGCCCACCCGGCTGGGGCCCCTGGCAGTCCGAGCTCCGCGCAAGCTTCGGAGCCTGGCCTTCCCCTCCCCCCCCTTCGCCCTCCCTATTCGCCCTGGAGGATCGACAGCCTCCATCGGTCTTGGAGGAACAACACAAAGAAGGAGCACACACACACACACACACACACACCAGATTTCAGGATTCATGGGGGGCGGTTTGATGAGGGCGTCTACTAGGAGCTGTCTTGGCGAGTTCCAGTGGGGTCTGGGCAAAAAGTCGCCCTTTCCTGGCTGGTTTGGGGGGGGGACTCGTCTGGGAGGGTTGTAACCCCTACCCTTTTATTACGAAGTCTGAAGAAATCGATCCACAAGAGGGGGTCTGAAATTACACCGGGAGGGTTGTGACCCCTGCCCTTGTGTTCCGAAGCCCGGAGTCATCGGTGAACAAGACGCGGCCAGAACGGGGGTCGGACCTCCGTGTTGGAGGCCTTCGATCCTCCTGCGCGGGTCCTCGCCTGCCTCATCCCGCCCGGGACGGGAGGGGACGGAAAAAGGGTGCACGCCACTCGCCTACGGGCGTGCACGCGCACGGGGCCGGAGGGGGCAGCTTGCGAAGCCTCCGTCGGCGGTGAGACGAGTTACGTTTGCATCTTCGGGGGGACCTATCTTGTCCCGTAAGTGGCCGTCTACTATTGCCATCCGACGTGGGTTCGACGCGGATTCGACGTGGGTTCGACACGGATTCGACCCGGATTCGATACAGATTCGATTCGTTCGACACGGATTCGACACGGATTCGACGTGGATCGCGGCGCGACGGGATAGACAAGGTCCCCCGAATATGTAACACACGACGACGGGGGAAGTGAGGAGGAGGGGGCCTTCTCAGAAGGTTCAGAAGTCCCCACGGCCTTTCAAGAAGTGTTCGAAGCCTTCCCCGAAGACACGGGAAGCTCCTCAGAAGGCGCGAGGGCGTCTGGGAAATCCCGCCGCCTTCTGAGAAGGCCTCGCTAGCCGCCGACTCTCCCCCCTCGCTCTCCTCACTCCCCCCCTTCCTCCCTCGCTCCCCCTCCCCCCTTCCTCAGAAGGCGCGAGGGCTTCTGAGAAATCCCGCCGCCTTGGAGAAGGCCTCACCCCCCCCCCTCGCTCGCCGCCGACTCCAGGAGCTTCCAGATCGGAGGACGGATCTTCCAGAAAGGGGTGAGGGCCAGATCATCAAAGGCAATCAAGGCGGAGGTTCGACCTCCCTTCTGCAGGCTTTGCTTCTCCACCCTGGAGTCTTGCTTTTCCCCCAGGATGGAGGCTCTACCTCCAGACTGGAGGTTTTCGATCCTCGGGGGGGGGCGTCCCCCAGGATTGAGCTCGAGATTCCGTTCTCGAGGTTTTCCAGCCTCTGGGCGTGTTTTTGTCTGGCGTCGTGAAAAGAGAGCGAGCACGGCGTCCAGATCAAGCATCAAGACTCGAAGGTGCCCACCCCACGTCTACACGCACGCGATCCCTCTATAGGCCAGATCGAGCCATGGAGGGCTCTGATGCTTGAAACATGGCAGGGTCGCCAGTCCAACACGATGCACGATGCAGCCAATTTTGAGGAGGAGGAGGAGGAAGAGGAGGAGGAGGAGGAGGAGGAGGAGGAGGAGGAGGAGGAGGAGGAGGAGGAGGAGGAGGAGGAGGAGGAGGAGGAGCGCGCGACCTCTATTCCTCCACTCACCACTCCAGCACGTGGCAAGGCGGGCGGGTTGCTTGGAGGCCTGGGGAAATTGTGTCGAGACGCCCGGGCGTGAGGATCATCCTATATCCTCCTCTTCCTCCTCCTCATCCTCCTCCTCCTTTCTGACGTTGCGCAGACTTGAGGCGAGCGCCTGGAGCGTGCATCCTCCTCCTCCTCCTCCTCCTCCTCCTCCTCCTCCTCCTCCTCCTCATCCTCCTCCTCTTCTCCTCCTCTCCTCTCCTCCTCCTCCCTCCTCCTCCTCCTCCTCCTCCTCCTCCTCCTCCTCCTCCTCCTCTCCCCCAAATCGAGCGCTGGTCCTCCTCCTCCTCCTGTGCTGGATTTTGGCACTGTCTCCCCCCCAAGGCCGAAGGCGGTGGAGAGCCCCCCGAGGCGGTGGCGAAGGCCGTGGAGGAGGCGGAGGCACGCATTGTCGGCCCTCCCTGTGCGGACGAGGGGGCAGGGGAGGGAGCGAGGGGGGGAGGGAGCACTCGTGCGAGCGGAAAATCCGACTCGGACTAGCTGGCCCAAAGGCGCTTCACGATGCACCGCTAGCCGAAGCCGAAGCCAAAGCTGAAGTGCACAGAGACATGGAACGGGCCCACACTGCAGGTTTGGTTGACAGCGCATCGTTGAGCGGTGTTGCAGCCTTCCTTGGGGAGTGAGCGAAGATGGGAGGAGTGTAGAGGTCTGAGTTGCCTCGATACGCCCGCTTAGATTCACAACACGTGCCGTGCTCAAAACGTCCGTGTCGATACGTTGCGTGTTGGCTCAACGTATTGGCCCACGTTCTGGCGAACGCATCGCGTGAGACCTACGTTTTCAGTCTACGTGTTGAGCTCCGTATCAATAAGTTGCGTGAGGTGTTTGTGAGTTGTTTGTTCTCTGGCCCTCCGGAGGCCTCTGGAGGCCTCCTGCTGCAGAGAAATTCCATGAGCCTCGTTCACGTCCGGGGATTTTGTTGTTGCTTCGGGTGGCGCGATCTTGAGGTTGTGCTTTCTTTTTGTTGCCTGTCTTCCCGATGAGGTCTTGAAGTATGCTCGATGGCCAGGGACCCAGACATGGTTGGAGCGTGTTTCTTTATTGCTTGGGGCATAATTGGCATTATAGCCCCCGGCCCCCCCTCCCCCCCTTATGACGTAGCGCCCCTCCCCCCCATCCAGTGCCCCTCGTCCCTCCATCCCCCCTTCCTCCTCCTCCTCCTCCTCCTCCTCCTCCTCCTCCTCCTCCATATCCTCCTCCTCCTCTTCCTCCTCCTCCTCCTCCTCCTCCTCCTCGTCCTCCTCCTCCTGCGGACTGCGGCCCCCAGGTCGCAGCCATCCCTCGAACCGAGAATTCGCCTCCTCCTCATCTCCTCTGCTCTTCTTGCACCTCCTCCTCCCTCTGCACTTCCCCTCCTCCTCCTCCTTCTCCTCCTCCTCCTTCTCCTCCTCCTCCTCATCATCATCAGCATCATCATCAGCAGCAGCAGCAACATCATCATAATCATGCCCCCGATCATACTCTCCCTCCCCTTTGCTTCGCCGACATCGCAAAATACGAACACGACACTCCTCTCTTCCTTGAGGTTCTGTTCCCCCGCCCAACCTGCACACTTCTTTTTGCACGCAGGAGTTCCCCGAGTTGGTGGTCGACATGGCTCTCTCGATTCAGAGCGTCCCCGGCACTGAAAAGCGAGACTCACGCTGCAGTGTTGGCCACTTTTCAGGGTCGGCGCTGTGCTCCCGTGAGTGGCTTTCCCGCCCCATCGTGGGCCACAGTTCTGTTCGGATCTTCTCCTCGTCGTTTCCTTCCCCTCCTCCACCTTGACCCTGGTCCTCCGGCTTGTCCCGCTTCTCCTCCAGTTCCTGACGTTGTTGCTGTTCATTCATCAGCACGTTTCCTCGTGCTCATCGTCCTGTTCATCTGCCACCTATTCCTTCTCCTCCTCATCCTCCTCCTCCTCCTCCTCCTCCTCCTCCTCCTCCTCTTGCTCCTCCAATGTGCAGAGCCCCCCCCCACTCTCCACTCTGATTGCGCATCACACGATGGGGTCACGGTCCCCCAGGGCACCCCAGTCGGCGGACAGAATAGACATCGGCGCAGCGGGAAGGGATAGGTAAGAGAGGCAGGGCGTCAGGTATGGCGCGGGCGTGCCGTTAGTTTGCCTCCTCCCACTCATTTTCTCAACCTCCTTCTCCACGCGCCTCCCCCTGCTCTTACCTACACCCCCATCCTCCCGCCTGCGATGGATTGTTTTTCCAGTTTCCGGCCCCCCCAGAAATCCCGACCCTTTTTCCCAGAGCTGGCTCTTCATCCCGAGTCGTTCTTGTTGACGGTCCCGAGGCCCGGCGAGGGCCCCCAGGCCGAGAGTGGCCAACAAAAATCCCGCCGTGATGTGTTCACGGCGCGAACACGTCGAGTGGTCTCCCTCTCCCTCGAGAGGGGCCCCCCTGGAGATCCCCCCCCCCAAACCCCGGCGGCGGCCCCGCAGGCGGCGGCTTCGGACCTCACCGGCGCCTCCACCGAGCTGGGGACGGAGCTCCGGGGGTGTGGCGGAGGAGGGGATAGGCAAGGTGCGCGAGAGGAGGGGCGATCGGTCGAGCACCGCCTCGACGGGTCGGAGCCCGAGACCCAGGCGCTGCGGCGCCTTCCCCCCTGGGCGTCCTGGCCAGGCTTCGGGCCTCGGGGCCACCACGCATCGAGCCAGCTCGAAGAGTGCAGCAGAAAGACGGGGTGGAGGGTGGAGTCGGGCATGCCCCCCTGCAGGAGGAATATTCAAGGCCAGTCAGCAGAATAGTCGAAGGACGATTCTCGACTGTTTCTGATCGTGTCTGCATTCGCTTTGACTGTTGTTGCTTTCCTTCAACATCCGCCTGCAGAAGTAGGACTCCAGTCGTGGTTATTTTTTTGGGTACGCGGGCGCGCGAAGACGAGGCGAACGCCGTGCAAGCTAGGGCGGGCCGCGCCGAAGCAAAGGAAAAAACAGCGCGAGCGAGCGGCGCCCGGCGCAGAGCGGAACTGGGACTGGGCACGGCGCAGCCGAAACGGCGCGGGAGGCACCACGGACCAGCACCGAGGTCTCAGGCCCACTGAGGCGCCAATGAGGACGCAAGTGCTGTAGGGAGTGACCACGCGCATGGAAAGTCGGCAGTAGACCACCCCAGGACGCACACCCAGAGATCCGATGTCGTGATTTTTTCGCTACGGGGTCCCCGGAAGTCTGAACCGATTCCCTAGGACCAGCTTTTCATCCTGAATCGTTTTTGACGGTCCCGGGGCCCGGCGAGGGCCCTTAGAGGCCGAAAATTGCGAAAATTTCCGTCTTGATTTTTTCAACACGTTGGATCTCTGGGCATGCCGACGACGGTGATTGGGTCTCTCGCGATGTTGTGTCTTGTTCGCAGCGTCGGATATCTCCGGGGAGCTCCTATCCGGCCACGGCCGCTGTGGCCGGCGGCGACGGGGCGCGGGAGCCTCGCGGGCGCGGGTCGCGCCAGGGAGCGGGGCGATCGTGAGATGTCCAGGCGGTCAGAGGGCTGTGCACGTGATGGGCCTGCTTTCCACCACCACCACCGTAGGTTGGACGGGGAGGGGGTTCCTCCTCCTCCTCCTCCTCGTCCTCGTCCTCCTCCTCCTTCCCCCCATCCAACTGATGGTGCTGGTGGTGGAAAACAGGCCCAGCACGTGCAATCAACTCGCACCCAGACATGATCGCGTCGTAAACAAAAATCACGGCGGGAGGTTTTTGTTCGCTGTTTTCGGCCTCCAGGGGCCCTCGCGGGGCGCCGGGACCGTCAAAAACGATTCAGGACGAGAAACCCGTCCCTGGGAAGGGGTCGAGATTTCCGGGGACCCCGTAATGAAAAAATCACGACATCGGATCTCTGGGAGTAAGGACGGGCAATCTTCCCAAGGGTACCCTTGCATCCTTGCCTCCTCGGTCCATCCTTGGCAACTTTCGTTGGCCGCGCCCCGCTCGAAGAGCCTCGAAATGGGCGCCCAAGGCCCTTGCATCCGTACCGCGCATCCGTATGATACTGTCCGACCGTGTAGCTCTGCGGGTGCGCCGATGGAATGCGTTCGACGTCTCACACAAGTACGAGGGCGTGGTCACGCCAGGGGTGAATGAGCCACCTTGTGCTGGAGCGAAGCCGCGGCTGAAGTCCCAGTGGAGTCGAGCTCGATCGACCGCTGGACAGAAATCAGCCGGCGGAAAAACCATGCGCACAAATACACACGCACAAATTTTGGCCAGACCAAGGATAGGTGCATATGCCTTCCTCGCCTGGCCAAGGAGGCACACACACACACACACTCTTTTTGGCGGTCGTGGCCCCGCGCGAAGCGACGAGGCGGAGAAAGGTAATTAAGTGCAGCGGCCAGGGGCCCGCGCTCGCTGGGCTCAAAGTGGGCGGCACACACACACACACGCAAACACACACAACACAACAATATCACACACATGCGCGCGCACGCACGCACGCACGCACACACACACACAACCACACACACAACCACACACACACGCGCGCGCACGCACGCACGCACGCACGCACGCACGCTCGCACGCTCGCACGCTCGCGCACGCGCACGCGCACACACACACACACACACACACACACACACACACACACACACACACACACACACACACACACACACACACACACACACACAACACACACACACGCACACACACACGCACACACGCACACACGCACACACACACGCACACACGCACACACACGCACGCACCACACACGCACGCACACACGCACACACGCACACACGCACACACGCACACACGCACACACGCACGCACGCACACACGCACACACGCACACACGCACACACGCACACACGCACACACGCACACACGCACACACGCACACGCACACGCACACACACAAACACACACACACACGCCGACACACGCCGTGCGACGCACACACACATACACACACACACACGCACATGTTGTGGGCGTTGCGGCCCAGGCCTGGACGCAGGGCGTCCAGAAGTCTTGCCGGCGCGCGCGCGCCGGCAATCAAGTCAAGGAGAATTTGCACGATGCAGCAGCGGCCGAGCCGGCCAGAATGCAAGGTGGCCGGGGGGCCAGCAAGACAAATGCAAGGTGGCCAAGCAACGCGGAGGGGCCAGCGAGGAGCGAGGAGCGACGGCAGACAGCCGAGCGGAGATAGACGGACGGACGCGAGTGACAACGGGCCGACTGACAGAGGAGGGGGAGCCGAGGGCAATAGAGGGGGCACCAGACACCACAAGGGCAGGGAAACGCCACGAGGAGGGGAAGAAGCCAGCCGAGGAGCAGGGCGAGGGAGGAGGAGAGGAGGCACAGCACAAAGGCAGGAGGGCGGAAGGGGCGCGGGCCCAGCTAGGCGGGTCTGGGAGCGGGATCTCCTCTCGCACGACCCGCGCGTTAGAGCTCTTCAAGGTGCGCCTGTTGCACCTGTATCCGCGACGCCCGCGGATTCAGGCGCCCTGCCGTTCCTCCTTGTGGAGGGGTCCATGATCTGTAGCTGCACGCGTCGTATTCCAGCTTCCTCCAGGTCTCGCGAGTCCTGGTGACAGGGCAGCCCAGGCAACCCGCGTAATTAATAAGGATAGGCAGCCTTCCCAAGGAGACCCATGCATCCTTGCCCCCTCGGCCCATCCTCAGCGACTCTCGCTGGCCGCCCCCGCTCGCAGAGTGTCGGCCTGGCCTTCCAGGACCCTTGCATCCTTGCCGCGCATCATCATGAATCATGATACGGGCTGACTGCAGCTTGAGTCGCACACCCACGCACGCACACGCGCACGCACCGATCTCGGACCCAGGATGGGCCCGGCCGGGATCGGTGCCCGCGCACGGTTCTCGTCGCCGATGTGATCGCGGGCCAGGGCAGGCCGCGTGGGCCACGGGAGCCGCCGCTCTCCAGGGCGGGCCACCGTCCAGGGGGGTGGGGGGGCCCGCGCGGGCAGGGGGGCGGGAGCAGCAAGGGGCAGGGGAAGACGGTCGTCGTCGCGCCTGTCCTTGGGTGGACAAGCTGACGGCGATAGTAGAATGTTGATGATGATGACGACGACGATGATGATGATTATGATTATGATGATGATGCTGGTGATGATGGTGATGATGATGATGATGGTGGTGATGGTGATTTTGATGTTGATGCTGATGCTGATGCTGATGCTGGTGCTGATGCTGATGATGGTTATGATGATGCTAATGGTTATGGTGATGGTGATGATGGTGATGGTGATGGGCATGGTGAGAGTGATGGTACAGTCGGACCGAGGTATGAGATCGAGGTCGGTTCGGGGAGGGTACCATAATGTTCTTTGTACGTGTTGCATGTTCTTGTGCACCCTGGGGAGAGTATCCTTGGATGTTCTGTATGTTTTGGCCAGCGGAAAATCTCGTGTTCTTGAGCGATGCCTTTATGTATTGCGTCCGATTGTAATGGTAATGCAAGTTGTGATGGTGATTGTGATAGTGATGATGGTGAGGGTGATGGTGATGGTGATTGTGATGATGACGGTGATTGTGATGGTTATGGTCATGAGTTTGAGGTCGAGGGTGACGGTGGTAAAGTTGATGATGACGATGACGATGATGATGGTGATGGTGATGGTTATGGTGATGTTGTTGATGATGACGATGATGATGATTATGATGGTGATGCAGATGGTCATGATGATGATAATGATAATGGTGGTGATGATTATGATGCTGCTGATGATGATTATGATGACGATGATGATGGTGGTGGTGATGATGATGAGGTTGATGAGGATAATGATAATGACGATGAGCATGATGAGGATGATGAGGATGATGATGGGTATGAAAATGAGCAAGAGGAGAAGGAGGCTCTGGAGAAACATGATGATCATGATGATGATGATGATGATGATGATGATGATGATGATGATGATGATGATGATGATGATGATGAGAAGGAGGAGGAGGAGGAGGAGGAGGAGGAGCACGACGATGACGGTGGTGATAACGATAAAGGCCCATTAGTGGGATACTCCCAGCAGCGAGTCGGCGTCGGAATAGCTCCACTCTGGAGGCGCGATTGGCGCAAGAACTGCGGATTGCTCTGGCGCCTTCCAGACCAATGTAGCTAGATGTTACTTTCGAGGTGTTCCAGAGGGCCTCGCCTTGGAGGAATGGAGAAGTTGGAACTTCTTCATCGGCGGAACGTGACAGAAGGCGGCGAACATTAACCGAGGGTTCCTCCCCCTACTGAAGGCCCGCGGAAGCCGGCGGAAGGAAAAGATGCGCCCTCAAGAAATGACATGATTGTCGGTTCAGATTTTCCGGAACCCGCCATTTTATTACGAGGAGGGGCCCTGCACATCGGCACCTCATAGACGCACTTCGCTACGCGCCTGAAGGGTGTGGGGGATCAATTCACGGTACTGCCACGTCTTGGCACGATTGGTGTATTACAGCGTTGCCGTGTCGCCCCGATGACCTCGCATTGCGGCAAGCTCGCGCGCAGCGCATCTGGGGTTGAGTGTAGACCTGAGCGTTCGGCGGCAGCCGTGGGAAAGACAATGCGGCAGTTGGCTCTGACAAATCATGCTCGCGATTATGTTTGCGCATCGCCTCCGCTGGTCCAGTCGAACTCGTACGTACTCTTGCCTCTCGCAGCACGTACCTCCGAGGAGCTCGACGCGTTCAACGCCAAGCGCTCGGGTGCCGGGCTCGGGATGCCGAGCCGTCGGCTGCACGCGCCGCACGGGGCTGGGACGGGGCACGCGGGACACGCATTGGTGGTGTGAACGAGTTCCCCCCGCAGGATATTAGACCCCAGGATCCCTCGCTCTCAGACGGGGCCAACGATGGCGAGACATGGCAGGCACCCAGCATGGGAGATTCGACGCTACGCTTGCAGGACAAACTCTCCTTCCTTCTCATTCATGCCTTGCAGTCGGGGCTTATTTTGACGCAGCGTCGGCAAAACTCATGCTTTGAGTCCAACGAATTGGCGCGTCTTCGTTCGACGCCCACGCTGCGGGTCAACGAGCCGTCGAACTTGTACGCGTACACATGTGGGGCGCTCCAGAAAGTGCCCCGTTTTCGTGGGATTGAGAGGGTTGCCTTTCGCCCTCGGCAGCAACCGTCGAAAGGCTGGCATACCATGCAGCGGCGGCTCCTTTGGCGGAAGGCTGGCGGAAGCCTGCGAAAGTAAAGACTCGCCTCCAACACGTCAATGCGTTTTCATTCATCAGAATTCCAGAGTGGGCCACATGGTCTCAAGTAGGGCTGGACCTGAACGTTGTTCTGCCGGACTTCGGCTGTGTTTTGTTTCTCGTTCTGGCAGGGAGGTACAGGAAGACAGGTGGAGCAGAACGAAGGACACAACGAAACCGTCACGAAACATAGCGTTCGGGTCCAGCCCTGGCCCCAAGGCGATCTTCTGGGCCCCTCCGATCCAGGCGCCGTCGCTCGTGCTCGCGCCGTGCGCGACGTGCCGAGCTGGCGGCGCGGCCCGCACACGCCCTCAGCTCGGGCAGGCTCGTCAGTCTATGGTGCCCTGTGCTGCTGTCGGGCACGGCGCGCCCTCTCGAGGCAGCCCCACGCATCTTGAGGGGAACGAAGCGTGGCATAAGCACAGAGACCCGGGGATCCGCGCGGGTTTCTCTGATCGGCGCTGGGCCCCCCTCCCTGGCTCGCGGAGCGCGCCAGGGGCGGCGCCAGAGGCGCCGCCAGTGGGCTCCAGCGCGGATCCGAGCAATCCGCGCGGACCTCCGAGTTTTTATGTTCATGTCATTCTCCGATCCCCTAGCGCCCCCCCATGTCAACGCCAATGGTGCACACGTGCACACACACACACACACACACACACACATGTGGGGCAACTCGGAAAGGCGCCCGCCCCAACGGATATCCACTCGCCGCTCACCCCGTGCTTGGCATCTACCTGGGTCCGCAAGTTGTCGTACCGTATGTTGCGCCACGCAGTTCTGGAGCGCTCTGGAAGCACAACTTCGTCGATATGACAAGTGCTCTACCGCATGGACCCCCGTGAGAGTGCTCGCGCCTCCCTATTGGGACGGCCACGGCTGCTCAACCATTGATGCGTCATGAGCGCAAGCCGCCTTGGAAGGGATCTACTTTCGTGAGTGCGTTCCATGTCGGTGGGATTTGGTCCGTAACCTTCTGGCTCAAGACGCCTGGCGCGCATACCACCCCCCCGCGGCCAGGGGTCGTAGCGCTCGTGGCATGCGCAGCGCCGACCCGTGGGCGTGGACAGGACGCGCCCTGACACCGCCGCCGTCGTTGCGGGCCGCGCAGGCGAAGGCGCCCTCAGCTGCGTGGAGCGACGTGCAGCTGCGCAGCCACACGCCGCCGCCGCGTCCAGAGGGCGGTCCCCCGCCGAGGTCGCCGTGGTCAGGCGGCAGCGCCTTGGAGAGCCTGCGCTCCCTGGAGCTGCCTCCGCCCGTCGCCTGCGGGCGGACGCCGCCGAGGCGGCCCTGCGATGCCGCGGTCGCGCCCACGTCGCCGCTGCGCGCCCTCTGGCAGGAGGCGGGCCCCTCTGGGCCCGAGTGGTACGGTGGCGCGGCAGGCACCATCGCGGACCGGCGTTCCAGAGCCCTGGAGTGCAACCGCGGCCTGAGCCCCACAGGCGGAGGCTGCTCCAGCAGCCCGCTTCTCTCCCACGGCGCGCGCGGGCCCGCCGCGCGGGGCGCAGCCCCCGGCCTTCGCGACCCCGGCACAGGGGCGTGCCGCCCCCCTGCGGCCGCACGAGGCGAAGTCTCGGAGCTCAGCGACGGGCAGGCGTGGCCGTCGAGCCCTCAGCGCAAGAGGCCCTCGACGCCGCCGCCGCGCCCGTCGAGGTCGCGGCTGCGGGACGGCGGCTGGTGGCCCGAGCAGGGCCCGGCCGCGGCGGCCAGCGGCTCAGCGCCGGGCTACCCCGTGGCCCTGGGCTCGCCCAGCCGGGGCGCCAGCCCGCTCGGGGGCGCCGCGGCCGACGGCCGCTGGACGCCGAGCCGGGGCGCGAGCCCGCTCGGCGGCGGCAGCGCCGCGGCCGCGGGCCCTTTGGCGCCGAGCCCGGGCGCGGGCCCGCCGAGGGGCGGCGCCGGGCAGGCCGCGCTCGGCAGCCCGCCCGGCGCGGAGCGCCCGCGAGCGGGCCTCGGCGCCGCGGGAGGCGCCCCCGCGCCGGCCTGCGCGTGGGCGCCGCGGGCGAGCTCGCCGCCCCCGGCCGGCGGCGGCCGCTGGCGGCCGCAGGTGGGCGCAAACAAGGTGGATCAACCGGCTTTGATTGGGCGCCCGAGTTATACGGGGTAACTCGGGTCTGGGGTGACTCGGGCTTGGATTCCGAAAAAACGAACCCGAGTTAGCCCTGATCCGAGTTACCCCTGATGATTTGGGGCTCTAGACGCCAAAATTATCCGGTGTAACTCGGGCCTCGGGTAAATCGGGTTCGGAATCCCGTAAAACGAACCCGAGTTAGCCCTGACCCGAGTTACCCATGATGATTCGGGGCTCTGATTTGATCCTTTGATTTTGCTTTTTGGCGCGTTTTTGAAGCATCCGGCGCGGGCCCGGGCAAGCTTGACCTTTGTTTGTGAGCGGCGCGCGGGCCTTTCTTGGGGCTTCCGACGATGCCCCTCGCAGACCGCGCAGATATCTATGCAGGGGGGGAGGCCCGGCCCCCCGTGCCCCCCCTCGTTCCACAAGCTTTCTTCGTTTTTTCAGAGCCTGGAACCCTCATTTTCGGAAAAGGGTAACTCTGAAAGTGAGGGGCTGGGCAACGCTTGGTCCCAGCCGTGGAACGACATACGCCGCCAGATGCAAACGAGCCAAGCCGAGACTTCACTTTCTGTGTCAAGAACTTAGGACAACTCTCATGGTTTATGGTAAGACCCATAGACCCTGCAAATGCGGATAGGAGAGAGGGCCTGCTGTGGTCTCGGCGCATGCGCGCGCGCTGCGAATCAAAGAACTGAGGATTACAAGCCCACCGCAGGGGCCGATTTTCTCCCCCTGGAGCCACCGGGGATCAGGCAGCAAAAAAACAATGGGGATCCCAAGGCAGGCGCCGATTTTCTTGCGCCACAACGGCCTCCCCAGGGCCCCCATGAGGCCGCGCGGGACCCCCAGGCTGGGTTCAGTTAGACCCCCCCCCGGCCAGACAAATGAAGATAAACGCGACAACGTTCGCCTGCCCCGAAGCAACCAACGCGAGCACAACTCGAAATTCGTGTCCGCGGAGCCCCCTCCCTTCCACAACCGGGTGATGATTTGAACCGCATCCGAAGCATAAGCTCAACTAAATAACGGTGATCGAAATTCTCTGACCCAACGGGCCAGAGAGGTGTGTTAGAATCTCTTTCAGAGGCTCAGAACCGTTCTAACTCGCGCGCGCGCGCGTTTCTTCGCCTGGGGGATCCAAACCCGTGCAAATCGCGGCAAGATCCCGGCAAAGTGGGGGCCACGGATGCTGGAACTCCTGGAGGCTGTCTTCAGGACCCCCATGAGCGCCCCAGGAGCGCCCCAACGGACCCCGAGAGAGCTCCGAGAGGGCCCAAGAATAATGATCAATGATGGCCAGGCCAAAGATGGCCCGAAGACAGTCCCAGGAGTCCGCAAGATGGCCCCACGATGGTCCAATACAAATCCAACAAGGCCCCTTGAGCTTCAATTCCATGGATTTGTATGGCTCCAAAGAGTTGGGCGTCACCGTTTCTTCGGGCTCCCGACCGCCCAGGACGGCCCAACGGGCCCCCAAGATCGCCCGCCCTCCGCATGCTGGGGGGTCGTGCTTATCCTGCACCTCCTGCTCCTCCTGTTCATGCTGCTGCCGCTGCTCAGCAGCAGCAGCAGCAGCAGCAGCAGCAGCAGCAGCAGCAGCAGGAACAGCAGGAACAGCAGGAACAGAAGGAACGCGAGAGCCCCCCATCAGAAGTCTCTGGGGGGCTCTCGTGTTCTATGCGATGAGGGAATCCCCGGCGATCGCGATGAGGAGGAAGCGGAGGAGGAGGAGGAGGAGGAGGAGGAGGAGGAGGAGGAGGAGGAGAAGAGGAGGAAGAGGAGGAGGAGGAGAGGGGGCGAGGGAGGGGGGAACGTGGGAGGAGGAAGCGGAGACGAAGGAGAAAGGACGAGGAGAAGGATGAGGAGGAAGAGAGAGGGAGAGAAAGGGAAATGATGAGAGAGGTGGAGGGTGAAGCAGGAGAAGGGCGAGGAGGAACAGGAGCAGGAGCAGGAGCAGGAGGAGGAGGAGAAGGAGGAGGAGCAGGAGAAGGGGGAGGAGGAGGAGGAGGAGAGGATGAGAAGGGTGCTGATGATGATAATGCTGATGATGATGCTGCTGATGATGATGCTGATGACGATGATGATGATGATGATGCTGATGGTGATGATGATGATGATGATGATGATGATGATGATGCTGATGATGATGCTGATGGTGAGTATGATGATGATGGTGGTGGTGATGATGACGATGATGATGTTGGTGATGATAATGCTGATGATGATGATGATGATGATGATGATGATGATGATGATGATGATGATGATGATGATGATGATGATGATCATGATGACGATGCTGATGATGGTGGAGATGATGGTGATGGAGATGATGGTGATGGTGGTGACGATTGTCATGTGGAGAAGGAGGATGATACAGTTGATTAGGAGGACGGAGATGACGAGGGAAGGAGGAGGATGGGGAAGAGGAGAAGGTGAAGGGCGATGAGGAATGCATGAAGACGTTTTTGTTGGGGGAGGGGCTCGGATACTATTTATCTGATTGGCACTCGGAGGTAATGAAGGGTACCCTCCCGTCCCCAATGTTCATTGCCTTCGTACTCCCCCCTCCCCCCTTCCGCCTCCTTCTGGCCCCCTCCCATTCCTCTCCTCCTGTCCCACCTCTTCTCCCTCCTCCTCCTCCTCCCCTCCTTCTCTGCCTCCTCGCCCTCCCCCTTCTCCTCCTCTCTTCATCTCCCTCCCCTTCTTCTTTTTCTTCTTCTTCTTCCTCTTCTCCTCGTTCTCCTCCTGATCCCTCTCTACAGGGGTGACCGTGGACCTCAGTCGGAGCAATGCACATCAAGAGCTTCGATGTGTCAGTGGGCGTGGCGGGACATGGAGCGAGGCGTGGGCCAAAACAGCCCAGTGAGGGAAGCAGCCAATGTGAGCGCTTTCCTCACTGCCCCAGTGAAGGAAGCAGCCAACTTAAGCGCTTCCCTCATCGGGCCAGTGAGGGAACCAGCCAAATTGAGCGCTTCCCTCATCGTGCCCGTGGTGTAAGCAGCCAAAATGAGCGCTCCCCCCATCGGGCCAGGGAGGGAGGCAGCGAATTTCAGCGTGTCCCTCATCGACTGTGTTGTCTGATTCCTGCTCTGGCCGCTGCTGTTGGCTGGTTGCTGGTCGTGACATGCGCATGGTCTGGGCTCCCTTCCTAGTCATGCTGCTGCTGCTGCTGCTGCTGCTGCTGCTGCTGCTGCTGGTGCTGGGGGGGGGTCTCGCGTTCCCTGTGATGTTCCTGAAGGCGATCCCTCGCCACCGCGATGAGGAGGAAGCTGAGGAGGAAACGGGGCGAGGGAGGGGGAACGCGGGAAGAGGGAGCGGAGACGAGGGAGGAATGATGATGCTGATGCTGATGATGACGATGACGATGATGATGCTGATAATGCTGATGCTGATGGTGATGATGATGAGTATAATTCTGATTATGATGGAGATGATGAGGAGGTGGAGGACGATGCTGATGATGGTGCTGATGATGATGATGCTGCTGCTCATGATGATGATGATGATGATGATGATGATGATGATGATGATGATGATGATGATGATGATGATGATGATGATGATGATGATGATGGTGCTGCTGATGCTGATGCTGATGCTGATGCTGATGCTGATGCTGATGCTGATGATGATGATGATGATGAGGATGAGGAGGAGGAGGAGGAGGAGGAGGAGGAGGATCGTACTCCGGATGAGGGGGGAGGGGGATCTGGGAGGTGGAGGATGGAGCAGGAGAAGGGGGAGGAGGGGGAGAAGGATCATGAGCAAGAGGGAGGAGGAGGAGGAGGAGGAGGCGGAAAAGGACGGATCGGGACGTGGAGGGCGTGGAGGGAGGGGGGGCATGCAAGAAGAAACTTGCCGCAGGCTTCTTGGGGCATGCTTCTGTGCACGCGCTGTGAAACAGATGGGCCGTTGCTTCCCTCACTGGGCTGTTTTAGTCCGCGCCTCGCTCATTCCCCCCACTGCGTCCACTGACAACACCGAAACTGTTGATGCATATTGCCCCGACTGGGGTCCGCGGGCACTTCTGAAAAATAGGATCAAGATGTGGCGAATGAGGAGAAAGATGAGAAGGAGGAGGAGAGAAGAAGGGATAGGGCGAGGAGGCAGTGGAGGAGGAGGAGGAAGAAAAGGAGGAGGAGGAGGAAAAGGAGGAATAAGAAGGAGAGGAGAGAGAGAGAGAGAGAGAGAGAGAGGAAGAGGGGCAGAGGAGGCGAGGAGGAGGAAGAGGAGGAGGAGGAGGAGGAGGAGGAGGAGGAGGGAGGAATGAGGAGGGGGATAGGGAGGGGGGACGGGGGAGCACGAGGATGATGAGCAATCGGAACGGGAGGGTGCCCTCTACTACCTCAGACTGCAATTCAGACAAATGGTATCCGAGACCCCCCTTCAGAAAGAACGTCTTCATAGCCCGTTCCTCCTTCCCCATTCACCTTCTCCTCTTCTTCATCATCATTTGCTTCTTCGTCATCGTCGTCCTTATCAACCGCATCATCATCATCACCACCATTATTTTACCATCATCATCATCATCAGCAGCATCATCATCATCATCATCATCAGCATCAACATCCTCAGTATCATCATCATCATCATCATCATCATCATCATCCTCATCATCATCATCATCATCATCATCATCATCATCATCATCATCATCATCATCATCATCATCATCATCATCATCATCATGAATATCATCATCACCATCGTCGTCGTCATCATCATCCACATGACCATCGCGAGCATCATCAACACCTTCATCATCAACATCCTCCTCGTCATGACCCTGGTCCTCCTCCCCCGTCTTCTGCTCCATCCTCCACCTGTCTCATCATTTCTCCAACTCCCCCTCCCTCCCTCTTCCTCCTCATCCTTTTTCTCATCCTTCCTGCCTCATCTCCGCTCCCTCCTCCCGCGTTCCCCTCTCCCTCGCCCCCCCTCCTCCTCCGCCTCCTCCTCCTCATCGCGATGGCGAGGAATCACCGCATCACATGGAACGCGAGAGCCCCCAGCAGCAGCAGCAGCAGCAGCAGCAGCAGCAGCAGCAGCAGCAGCAGCAGCAGCAGCAGCAGCAGCAGCAGGAAGGGGAGCAGGAGCAGAATCAGCACGATCCCTGAGCACGCAGAGGGCGGGGCGATTTTAGGGGGTCTTTAGGAACGTCCTGGGCGGTCAGGAACGTCCTGGGCGGTCGGGAACCCGAAAAGGCGAAGACGCCAAAATCCTTGAAAGAAACAGAAAAAAACAATGGAATTGAAGCTCAGGGGTACCTGTTGGAGCTGTATTGGACCATGGCGGGGCTATCTGGCGGCGTCTTGGGATTGTCTTCGGGCTATCTTTGGGCTGGCCACCCATTAAAACTTGTTCTTGGGCGCTCTCGGAGCTCCCTTGGGGTCTGTTGGGGCGCTTATGGGGCGCTCTTGGGGGGCCCTGAAGACTGCCGCCAGGAGTTCCAGCATCCGTGGCCCCCACTCTGCTTGGACCTTGCCGGGACTTCTCCGGGGTATTCTTCGGCTGGAATCCCCCAGGGGCCGCCGCGCGCGCGGTACACCATATGCCCGGTGGGCCGGCGAAGTACGACCACCCTAATTTAGCTTCGCTTCTGCTTCGGATGTGATTCAATTCATAAACCACTTGGCGTAGCATCGACAATGGGGGGTTAGTGTACATTCGCAGGCACTGTCTACGTTGTTGACAAAAAGTGAAGTGTCGGTTGGACTCGCTTGCGTTTGGTAGCAGACGGCTTCACATAAAAGAAAATATAGCGCGTCTCCCCACACTGACCAGGCATCTCCAGGGCCAGGGCCCCCTCACTTTCAGAGTTACCCTTTTGCGAAAGTGAGGGTTCCTTTGAAAAACGGAGAAACAACTTGGGAATGAGGTGGGGAAAACGAGCTCGGGGGGGAGGGGCCCGGCGCCCCCCCCTTCATAGATACTTGCGCGGTCTGCGGGGGGGTCGTCGGCAGCCCAACAGGACCCCCGCGCCTCCTACAAGCCGAGGTCAAACTTGCTCGGGCCCACGCCAGATGCCTCAAAGACGCTTCAAAAACCAAGTTCAAAGGTTCAAAACTGGTTGATCCACCCTGCTTGCGCCATCCCGGCCGCAGGCCGAGCACGCGGTCCCCGGCCTCGGCGGGGCGCCAGGCGCGCCCCTGCCAGGGGGCCGCCCGCCGCCGCGCGGCTGGGGCGACGCGGCCTCGGCGGAGGAGCTGGCGCTCGACGCTGGCTGGGCACCGGCCGCGCCCTGCGGCGCACGCAGCCCGCCCGGGCGGTGCCCAGCGGCGCTGGGCGAGCTCGCCGGCCCCTGGCGGAGCACGGGCGCCTCGCCGGGCGGCTGGCTGGCGGACCCCGGGAGGCCCACCTCCCCCGCCGGACCCGGCGCCGCGGAGCCGCGCGGCGCGCACGCCGCGCCCGCGGGCCGCGGCGGCCCCCCGCGCGGTGGGCCGGAGCCGCCGTCACCCGCCCGGGGCGGCTGGCACGCGGAGGCGCCTCTGGCCGCGTCGCCAGGCAGGTGTTCGCCGCCCGCGGGGCCGGGCCGACCACGCAGCCGGCTGGAGGTGTTGGAGGACGCCGTGGTGCACCTGGCGCAGGCGCAGGCGCAGGCGCAGGCGCAGGCGCAGGCGCAGGCGCAGGCTGCTCCGCCGCACGGCGGTGCCGGCGTGGGCGGGACCAGCGACCGGGCAGCGATGCTGCGCGAGAGGCTTCCGTGGGGCCCAAAAATCGGCACCACCACCACCACCACCTCCCCCACCCCCTCCCTCTCCCAGGGAAGAGGAGCAGGAGGGAGGAGGGAGGAGGCATCGACGTGGTGGTGGTGTGTATACACTTGGGGCCAGCATAGGCTTGCGGCTCTGGAGACGCAGCAGAGCCGGTTCGCGGCGCTCGAAGCACAGGTCCGCGCGCTGGCGGAGGGCGCTCATGCACCACCCACCGCCGCGCAGGCGCCGCGAGGCGGCGGCACGCCGGGGACACCGCTGGGCACCTCCCCGTCGGCGCCCTCGCCGCCGCCGCCCGCCGCCACCCCGCTGGCACTGTGCGCCAGTCTGCAGGCGCCGCCCCCTCCGGCACGCGGCGCCTCCAGCGTCGCGGCCGCCAGCGCCTCGGGACCCTGCAGCCCGCAGGCCCCCGCCCGGCCCGCCGCGGCGTCGCCCAAGCAGAAGTCGGTGCAGATCCAGGAGCCGCAGCAGAAGGTCCCGGTCCCCGTCGGCAGCGCCATCGGCAGCGCCTGCGCGAGCAGCGAGCAGCAGGAGCGGCCTCCCGTGGCCGAACTCGGCACCCCTTCGACGGCCGTAGACAGCAGGACCAGCACGATGTCCACAGGCAGCAGGCGCGACAGCATCCGGAACAGCCTCAAGAACCTGGCTGGGTTTGCGGCCACGGGCCTCGGCGGCGGCAGGCGTCGGGCGTCGCTGCGGAGGTCCAGCTGCGAGTACGAGGAGGAGGAGCCTCAGCGGGCGCCCGACCACCTGCCCGAGCTGCCCGAGGGGCCCGAGGAGAGCCTCGGGCACGACAGCACCGAGCCCTCGGACCCCGAGGACGACGACGACGACGACAGCGACGCCGACAGCGACTTCGGCAGGGAGATGCACAGAAGAGGCAGCGTCTCCGCCGAGGCCCACGGCGCATGGAACATGCGCCGCGTCGGTTCCGCCGCCGTGCACTTCAGCAAGGCGACGTCCGACAGGGACATGCTGATGAAGGCCTTGAAGAGCTGCCCCTTCTTCCAGGATCTGAACGAAGAGACCCTGACGCAGCTGGTCGACTCGATGCCGGTGGAGCCAGTGGAAGCGGGCGAGTGCGTGGTGAAGCAGGGCGAGCAGGGTGACGCCGCGTTCGCCATCCTCAGCGGGAGCATGAACATCTACAACGAGGACTCCAACACCAGCTGTCGCAGAACCGTCGTCGTGGGCACGACGCTGGGCGCGGGCCCGATGGCCTTCGTGAAAAAGAAGGATTTCATTCGGCAGCTTCCAGCAGGGCGCCTCTTCGGGGAGATGTCCATGCTATGGGGTTCTCCAAGATCACGTTCGGTGTACGCCTCCGAGCCCAGCAAGCTGGCACGCCTCTCGCGCGAGGCCTACCTGAACATTGTCGTGCGCTACAACGAGGAGGAGCGGCAGCGCCGCGTGAAGTCCTTGAAGAAGGCGTCCATGCTCGAGACCCTCGACAACGAGGAGATCGCTCAGATCGCCGACGCGCTGGAGAAGAGGCGCATCAAGGAGGGTGACTACATTGTGAAGCAGGGCGAGGAGGGGGACGAGTTCTTCGTCATCATGTCTGGCGTGTGCGTCGTGACGGTCGCGAGCGACGTGTTCAAGGGTGATGAAGATGTTCAGGAGTACAGGAGCCTCGGCCCGGGGGACCTCTTCGGGGAGATCGCGCTGCTCAAGAGGACGAAGCGCACGGCCAGCATCCAGGCGCGCTCCGACATGCAGGTGCTGTGCCTCAAGCGGCGGCAGTTCGAGCGCATGTTCGGCAAGCTGGAAAAGCTGCAGCAGAAGAACTACGTGTCCGACCCGAGGAGGTGCCTCGCGGAGTTCTTCCTGCCCGGCGACGCCACCGGGCCCAAGGGCATGTGCAAGGAGAACCACGCGGGCCAGGCGCGGAGCGACTGGTTCGCGGTCTACAGGCCGACCAGCAGGGACGCCATCGCCCTGATGATCCGCGGCGCCGCGGTGGGCAAGGGCCTGAACGTGAAGGGCAAGTCCGCCAAGCGGAACCGGCTCTCCGGCTTCGTCCCGTTCCTGCAGATCAGCGACAACAAGCACAAGTGTAAGATCGAGCCCTCCCCGCCGGACGCCCGGCTGCGCATCTTCTACGTGTCCGAGGCGGACTGCCTGAGGGCCAAGTCGGAGCTGGAGGCCGTCGCCCACGAGCCCAACCTCGAGGTCACGGACCGCAGCATCTTCGAGGACACCAGCTACGTGCACTCCAGCCCCCCCGTGTGGGGCCTGGACGTGCCCGAGCCCGTGATGCGCGAGGCGTACATCATGAGGCCGGACATCACGTTCATGGTGGGGTGGGAGACCGGCAGGGCGTCGGAGCCCGCGTTCATGGACATGAACCTGCACGCGATCCGGGACAAGAAGCCTCCAAGGGTCGTCCTGTACCAGTACGACGTGGAGGACC